TAATTAACCAAAAAAATTATATCTTTATTGATAACAAATTAATTCTTAAACAAAACTATTAAATATAAACTAAGTAAACGTGTATTGCACGTTGCTTGCACCTAGTGTGTGTGTGTGTGTGTGTGTACTGTGTAATTTAATTGAGTAACGTACCAAACATGTTAAAAATTAAATGAATTAACTGAAGAAACACTTAACTAACACTTACATCTGACCCACCCAAAATGTGTGAAGAATCACTACCGTCTATTGTCGTGCTACTTCACTCTTTTAAAGGACAACCGTTCTTACATTTAAGGGTTGTTTAACAAAACTTATGACAAAAAAAAAAAAGTATTTTTTTATGAAACTTGATGAAATGTGTAATTAAAATTAATTGTTAACTTTGATCTCAATTTTTTAGTAAATTTAAGCTCTCCGAACAATGATAAAGTCTTGAATCGTTGATCTTCAATCTCTTATTCGAGTAGTAGGTAATTAGTCTTCAAATATTTAAAAATGAGCAAATTAGCCCTCAATATTTCATTTCTACTATAAAACATTTTTAAATTATCATGTAATCCTCGTAAAAACACACCTTACTAATCGAATGCAATTCTATTGAATTCAATAACATGTCAAACATGTTTTGAATAAATAATGTTCGACATCCCATTCATATGTGAAGAACCCTTCGATCCATTGTCACAACACCCCCACCTTCTACCCTTTTAAAAGGCTACCATTTTTCACCACTAAAAGAGATTGTTTGTTGAGCTTTTAGGACACACATAAAATTTTCCCTCAATTTTGCTTTGTGCCGCGCAACGAGTGCTCATTAGTAGAACTCTTCAAATTTTTATATAATGCGCACTTTAGACTTAAATAACTAAACATTTTAACTTACCTTGAATGTAAAATTGCAAGAATAGTCTAAAATTTAATAGAAAGTTGGTCTTCAATCTTTAAAAAAAATCAAGTATGCCTTGTAATTACATGACCGATTTAACGACATAAAATTTCAAATTTCTAGTATATCGTCATATAGCTCTCACGTGTCTAGTTTTATAAAGCTAATTTTTCCTTCTGACGTACCATCAATATTCAAAATTTTTAAATTGCAAGTGATTTGATTGGCAATACTTACAAGTCAAGCAATAATTTTCTAATACGAAAAATTGAACAAATTTATATATATATATATATCACTAATTTTAGCATATGGTGAAAAACTAGTTTTAATCTTTTCGAGAAGCGAATAACTTATATATTCTAACTTGGACGTTGAAAGATAATGTTGAAGAAGCTTGAAGTTATCTCATCGTGTGTAATTTAAGTGGTAAGACTCTAAACTTGTAAGGTCTCATTTGATATTCGTTTTGAATATAAAAATAAAAAAGAAAAGTTGAAAAATGAAATACTGGAATAGAAATTTGCGCGCAACAAGAAGAAAGATTGTGCACAAGACAAGAAATGTAAGAAAATAAAGAGGAGAATAAAAAAGTAATCAATTGAAGACAAATACACACGGCTGCCAAGGAGTGAAGAATGAAGAAAAGAAAAGGAAGAAGAGAGGAACACGAGAGAAGAAAAAGAGGAAAATAGAGATGAACACGTGAGAACTCGGAAATTATCGAATATGACAACATTTCGAATTATTGTTGAATTTGTGGACAGGCAAAGGCCAACACGGTGAATTGAAACATCTTAATAGTCAGAGAAAAAGAAAGCAAAAGTGATTCACGTAATAGCGGTGAGTGATATGAGAGCAACCTAATCCGTGAAAACGAGGTTATGGGAAAACAATAAAAGCATTGTTCTATTAGGCGAAATACGATTGTCGCTACAAAAAGAATTTTTATTTTGAAGATTTATTTAATAAATTAATTTTTCTTTTTCACAAGTTTGTATTTAATTTAAATTTCTATCATGATGTTATTTAGCCCTGTTTGGTGAGAATTAAAAGTAGACTTTTACTACAATTTTGATAAAAGTTGAAAAATTGTATGGTTAATTGAAAAGTTGTAAATTCCATGAAACATGTTGTTAAAATTAATTGTTAATTTTGACTTAAATTAAAATCTAAATTTTAATATCTATCGAATTGGAATTTAATCTCATATTTGTTTATTAAAATGCATCTGATTATTTGTTAACCACGCATTTTTTAAAATACATTTTTTCTCTTTTATTTTTAATCACATATTTTTCAATAAAATAATATTACACACAAATTCAAAACTTTTCCTTATTTTTTAACCACACATTCTCCATTAAAATATTATTCTAAAATACATTTTGGGGGAAAAAATGAGGCTCAAATAGGCTCTTATTTGTTTTTTGAAAAATTTGGGATTACGATTATAATTAATTCTTTATTTTTTTTCTTTTTATTTAAATAGGAGTGTACATTCATCATTTCAAAGTTTTTTATCGAGAAAATAGATGAAAATAACGATTTTCACAATGAAAGATGTAAATACGGGCGAAAATGAAAAAAATGCAAGATGATGACGTTTTGCACAATAAACTTCATACGTAAAAAAGTTTTGTGATAATAACCTTTAAACTAAATATTATTTGATTTTAACTTATTTTAGTTATTGAGTCGAATAATCTAGTCTTGAATCAACAGTAAATAATTAAACACTTCGTGATAATCAAACGCTAATAAGGATAACTTAGTCCCTGTTTGTTTGACACAAATTAAAATTTTCATTTTCATTCTTCTATTTTAATAACCTTTGGATTACTATGAATTGCTGAGTAATGAAAGCAATTCATTTTGACGTGTATCCAGGTCAAAGTTTGAACCCCCAACGCCCCCCCCCCCCCCCCCCCC